CCCTCCGCCTATATTTTGCCTAAACATTCCCGGGACTGGAGCAAAGCACGACCGATAGTGTCTTATACACAGACAGCCTGCGCTCTACTCAGCCAGACGGTCGCTTCTGCCATTTACTGCCTTCTCCAGATTGTCTTCCGGGAACTGACCACCCTGTCTGATGTTCTACCTCTTCTGGCAGATTCTTCAACATTATGACCCCACGGACGACCTTGTCCTCTTTCAACAGGACATCGCTGGGTTCTTCAACTTCGTCACTCACCCTCGTATGGTTTCTACTGTCGAGTTCTTGGTCTCACGCTACGCTGCTCTCCAAGGTATGGACTTACAAGATGATCCTATTCTCAGCATAGCTCAGCACCAACAGGAACGTCTTCAACGGATCTTCCGTGGCCGCTGGCGCAAGACTTCTCGGTCCTATCATCCCATCCACCTTCGTGATCTACCAGATTTGGTTTTCCACTTACTTGAGTCTTCTTACTTCACCGTGGGCCTGACCGTTTTTCGGCAATGTCAAGGAGCCTCCATGGGCTCACCTTTAGCACCGGCTTTATGCAGCGCTGTTGCACTTTTTCGGGAATACTGCTTTCTAAGCTCCTTCCCGAGCTCTTCCTGGCGTTATGCCACGGGATTGGCACTACGGGCACGCTACGTTGACAATGTCTTCTTCATTGGACCTGCCCACATGCTCCACACCGACTCCTTCCAGGCCATTGCTCAACCCTTCTTCTATGGCAGACCACTTGAGATGGAGTATGTCGCTGATGAGACCCTCCTCGGCTTTGCTCTTCCCACCTCCCAACGCACTATTACCTTTCGACAACCACCTCACCTTACACTGATCCGGAGCAATCGCACTGCGGGTTCTCCAGAAATGGCTCTTGCTGGCTTCTTCACACGCGGCATCTTGATTTGCCGTTTGACTCGCCCTCGGGACATGATCTTTCCTCAACTCACGGACTTGACCCAACAATACCTCGACAAAGCCTTTACCATGGTTCAACTCCTACCTCTTCTTCATCAGCTTTGCCATCGTTTTCATGTACCACGACGAGATCTTCACACCCAACTTCGGTTTCTCAGTTTCTCTTGATGCAGCACCTGAGATCAATCTTCGCTTGAAAAGATTCCTTGTGCCAACATTGCCAACATTGTGATCTAACATTATGCTCACAACTATTCTTCCTTTTTTGTGTCTCCTTTCAGCTTCTCGGCTCAACTGTACGATCCTCATCCTCCCTTGACCCTTTACCTGGGCTATGTCGCAGTCGACCACCTCCGACCTTGTTTCTACAATTGCGACACAACTTAACATCGTCATCGTCGCACTTCGCTTACTGGTGGAGATGATTCAGAATCCGGAGTCTACTTCTCCTGCAGATATGACTCCCGGCTCTTGCCCTTCCAGACCACATGCTAGCCCTGCCTCACCGCTATTTTGTACGACCACGATACCTTCGATCAGCTGGGCACCTTGTGAACAACCGGTACTCTCACTGCCTCGTCAGAAGACTCCATCACCGACATCGACACCAACGGCTGAGAAGCACACTTCTCCCCACCACCCTTCCTCCCCCACTTTCGCTCCCCTCCCTTCTCCTTTCACCCCTCCCTCTTCTCCCGTCCCCTCTCCCTCCCTCCAGGTCGCTGATGAGGCCGTTCCTTCCTCCCCTCCTCCTCTCTCCTTTCCTCCCTCACCCATTCTCTCTCCTCCTGACTTCGCTTACCCACCCCCCTCCTCTTTGGCTCCTCCTCCTCCCCCTTCCCCTTCCCCTTCCTGCTCCCTCGTCTCCTCTGCTCCCCACGGCCCCCTCCCCTCTCGACCCCGCAAACGCCGCCCTCCCTCTTCCTCTCCCTCTCCCTCTCCTTCCCCTCGATACCACTCAGACACTTCTTGGGATGACGATTGGAGTACCAAAGATGATGATCTTCTTATCAGCCTCAAAGGCAATGAAAGACTTCGACCCAGCTGGGGCTACATCACCACCAAAATGGAGCGCCCAGAGTCCCAGATCCGCGCTCGTTGGGCTGAACTTCTCGACCTACAACGGCGGGCTACATCATAATCTTCACCTTGGACTTTTGCCCTAACCTTGTCGTATATTGGAAAAGACCGCGGCTGCTTCCTTTTCTGGCTTCCTTTTGGGCTGTGCCGTTTTTCCTCTTTCCCTTTTCCTTTTCTTTCCCTTTCTTTTCTCCTTTTCTATGAATTTTCCGCCTCACCTCAGCCTCTTGGCCCAAGTTTCGTCTCACTGTTTCTACTCGCGATTTTCAAGCGCCAGATGTCTACAACATCGACGACAGCTACCAAACGCTCTCGCCCATCTATGGCCTCCCACCTCCGGGACTCAGACAAACCTATCCTCATCTCTACTACCTTTCCCAAGAAAGCCCGTCCGACAACACCGCTTACCTCATTGCGGACTACCTCGACCTCTGTACACCCCTCGAGGACAAGTACATCTCCAGCGATCCACCTTCGCGCGAATGATGCTACTCTCAATGCCGACCGACCTTTGGCAGGACTGCTTGTCAAGCTCAACGGTGAGGAGATACCCTTTCTGATTCCCCGGCCAAACCGGCCTTTCCATTTGCCTGAGGCCACACCCTAATTCACTCCAATTCACTCCTTCGACCCATTGCTTCCTGAAAACAACGGGCGATCCGCTTGGGCTATGGATTCACGTTGCTGCTCACCTTCACTGCTATTCCTTTTCAGTTCATGTTTTAATCTCACTTCTCCCGCAGCCTTTCGGTTCTATTTCGGTACGCTTCTTACCTGATTCGATCGGTACTATGGAACTTCAACCAGAAGATGTTCGTGTCCCTTCCGAGGACTCCTCTCCGACGCAAGCTCCTCCCGATGATACTTTGACTCATCAAGAGCCTATGGACCCTGCCCTTTTGTCGAGCATCCCTCGCTCCGAGAATCAGTACAACGAGGACTTCAATGACTACACTCGTCAAGTTCACAATTTCACTCACGGAGATTAGCCTGTTGCTGAACCATATGAGGAATGGACCTGTCGTCGATCCCACAATCAACGCTATTGGTTCTATCGCGCTTGGTTCCACCACAAGACTCTGCAGTGGAATCACGACGACATTGAATTCTTCAAATCTGCAACCGGGTATTTCATTGATGATCACCCCGCTTCTCATTGGCCACATACATTTTCACGCATTTGGGGCACCCGTGGCTGGCAACTAGTGCTTTCTGCCAATCAGAGCTTTGAAATTTGGACACAATGCGAACGATATGAAACTGCTCTTCGTCTTGAAGAGGAACGCATTGCAGCTGAAGAAGCAGCTTTCGCCGCCACCCAACAACTTGATGACAACCCCGTTCCCCGCAGAGGCCTAAAGAGACATGCTGTCGAGAATCTGGAGCATCTCAGCGTTCAGTACCAGGTTGAAGAACTCCGGCGCAATTTCCGTCATCTTGACGTGTCCAAGGTTCCTATGCTCCAGGGCCTACCTGCCCCACAACAAGAACAACTCATCTGGGGTCGTCCACACCCTCACTTCATATCTTCATCAATCCTACCGACCTGATGCTCCACCCGGCCATTCAACTGCGGCTTCTTTGGCTCCTCCTGACCACTTTCCTCCCACTGATCCCATCAGCGATGGCACCGGACTTCCGCTTCCTGTACCTGATTCAGCATCTATGTCATTGAACTCCACATCGACTGAATCTCAAAATACTTTAGAACCTCCATTTCCTTTGGAACGTCCTCGTGATTGACAACAGCTGGAGATCTACATCGCTCCCCTATACTCAGGACCCTCTTCGCTCTGGTGTGAAAAGATCCTCACCTCTCTCTCGCTTGGACTTTTATTCTGATCTCATTCGTTATTGATGCTTTGGTTCTGCATATTTTCTGCTCTTTTCTGCAGCCATTGGCTCCGCCTTACTCGCTTGTCTCAAGCACTGCCGCTTCCTTTCTTTCATGATTTCATCCCCGGGACTTCGTGTACCTGAACCTCTGACACACACGATTCCCACATCTCGTACGTCATGGAGAGAAGTCCGTCAACCCTTTGAAACACTGGATATGGTGCCGGACCTCTCTACTGTCCGATTTGAATTGGATGTCAGCTTGCTCGTCTACCAACCCCTGAACTACATTACAGTGACCCTAGACCGGCAACAGATTGACACCAAGGAATACACCGTTGACGACCTCAAGGATGTGATCTACTCCCGCCTGGGCCAACATCGTTCAGCCTTCTGGATGGCCCTCCCTTCGACCGGTGATTCACGAGTCTGGGAAGTCCCTCACACTTGCACTCTCGACGATCTCGTTCTTTACTTTATCAATTCACGCCGGGTTCGCCCCCCTCGGTTCCTCTACTGAATATCCCCGAGAATCTCTTCCTTTTCCTTACCGACCTCTCCATACAGTCGCTCCTCGTCTTCATGATGATGCCATTGGTCAACTTCGACTACCATTGACTGCCTATCAGACCTACCGTGAGATCCGGCAGTTCTCTTACCCTATAGATCAGCTGAGGTTAAAAACAACCTCTGAGGTTATTCCCAAAAAATAACCTCAACCATTGAATAACCTCAAGTTCTTGAGGTTATTTTTTGAGGTTATTCTTAAAAATAACCTTGAGGCTATTTCTAAGAATAACCTCAAAACCTTGAGGTTATTTCTTATCATAACCTCACACCATTGGACATCTATCTGAAAACTTTGAGGTTTCCAGTATGATTAACATCAAATAGTTTGTCAAATAGCTAACAAATATATCCAACCAGCCATCAATATTTCAGCAAAAAGTTCCAAATCTTTACAAATATTTCCAATATTTCAGCCAATATCTCTCAACTCTCCTCACATTACTGCAAATGACAAGCCTGCATTCCATGTATACAAACCACCAAAAATGTGTTCAACTCTCTTGTCTTCTATGTGTGACTACATCACCTTGTGACAGTTTGTCCACAACACAACCAACACAGCTGCTGCAAAAGCCTTTGGACAGCTTTTTCAATCCTCAGCCCACATCATGTGCTGTGCTACACGCCAATGCTCCAGCATTTTGTAGCTAATTTCCTGAGGCTTGTTACCTCTGGTGCAAGACTGAGCAAGCCTTTGCATGACTTTCATGAAGTCTTCTCCTTGAAAAACCCAGGTGTACCTGGGGGAGATATGCTTGCTACTCATGGCTGCATGCATCAAATAATGCAGCTTGGATGTTATGTTGAACATCCCATTGGGCACATCTTGGTGCTGAAAGTGTTCATTCAGCAGATGGCACACATGGCCCATTTGAAACACTAGCTCTTCAAATTTCATGGCATCACCAGTGCCTCAGCCAATGTGCTGGATGCCAGTGCAACAATTGACACACGCAAAGAAAACCTATAGAGGAGAAGCAACAAACATAGTTTGAAAGAATCAAACAAATCCAAGGAACTGAAACTCAAATTTGCAAAATTGTCCTCCAACATGCCTTCAATCTGACAATTTAACTTCAGGTAAATCGAAATCATCCTGTGCATCTGCAGCTGTGGGTTGTGCCACTGAGACCAAATCTCCAGCAATGGTTTGGCAAGTGCTTTGATAACTGCAGCCTTGCCTTTGAGTTTGATACCTTGTTTGTTCATAAACATGGTGTTTGTACTGAAGCTGCCATACTTGTCCCTGATCTGGTATGTTTTGTAGAGCCGTTTCAATGCTGCCCAGAACCAAGCCAAATTCCTCTTTGTGGAACCTTGATTCAAGAGATGAAAAATCAAGATGTAAATGACACTGCCCATGGCGTATTGGTCATGGCCAAGGTATTTTGTGTGCATCCAATCTGCTGCCACTGAGGCTCCTGTAAGGTGCTTGATTCGAAACAATTGACATTTTGATTTGCCTTCCCAAGACATCCAATCTGTGGGGGGCCACAGGGTTCCCTTCCACTCAGCATGCATTGAGAAGTTCTGCCACCTTGAGTTTCCTGCACCAGAAGCTCTGCAAATAGCACAAGGGCTGTCCTTCCTTGCCCAGTGTGGCAGTTTCAAAGTTTTGTTCAAATAATCTAAATCACCCACTAATGTGGTCACCACTCCAAAGAACCCATTGGCCAGGGGTTCCCCTGCTAGCCTGCCATGTGGAGATGTTGCTGAAAATGGTTTGCCATTCCAATCATGGCTGGGGAAAGTTCCTTCCAGCAAAGAGTTGAAACTCAAAGCTAGGACTGTGAACAGTTCATCCAATGTAGAATGTGTTCCATCTTGAAGTAGCTTTTCAAATGCCTCAGGTTGCAAGGAACAAGGAAGCTACAAGCACAAAATGATATTGAACAAATTGCATAGCAACCTGAAAGAAAGGCCTCTCTTGTTAGATTGGTAAAATGTTCACTGAACAGTGTTGAAGAAGCACTCCAAAAGGTCGCCTGGCACAAATTCCTCTTCAAATACTTTGCAAATATATGGTCAAGCAGGTTACAAATATATTGTAGAAATACATCAGCCAAATACATGTGGCCTCAAATACATTGAAAGAGATATGATATATATAATGCATTTCGGCCAATATGTGCTGCCAAACTGCAACATACATGACGTCGCAGTTTTCCCTGGAAGCTGCTGTGCTCAGAAGCCCACTCCAATTCATGACCAGCATTCCCTTTGACCACACTTTGCCAATGCCAGTCACTGGCATAGCATCTCCATGTATCTTGATTGGCAAGCCTTTGGAATAAAGGTCAAGCCTTCCAAGTGCTGGGTGATCTCTCATGCAAATATGCTGGGAAAAGGTTTCCCAAAAGCTTCTCAGACTGTGTGGTGCTTGAGGAAAAAATGAAGAATTGAATCTGTCTGTGTAGTGCTTGTGCATGCAGTGGAACTGGAGATGTGGTAGTTGGATGTTCTGAAGGAACAGGCCACCCTTCATTGGAATCTTCACTGGTAGTGCATGAGGAAGAGAAGAGACAGGTGCCAGCAGTTTCACAAGGTCTCTATGCATGTTGTTTTCATACAAGCCATTCGACCCCAGTCTGGCCAACTGGGCCAATGGATGGGGAGCTCTTGCTCCAGCTGCTTCAAAATCAACTTGTGCCAAGGCAGCTATTTTCTGAAGTTGCTGGGGGCTGAAAAAGCCTTCAGCCCATTGCCTGTGTAACCAGTCAGCCAAACAAGACTTTGGTTGCCCTTGCTTTGCTTCACCAGATGGTTCTGCCAAGGAAAGTCTTTGTTGGATGCCACCTCTCATGCGCTTTGTCATGGCTGGCAATTATATCAAATCACATGAACAGGGTGTAACAAGATAGAAAGCTGCCACAACCACTGATTGCTGCTCCAGTATATATATATATAGCGTTTGTCTGCTCAATGTTTTTGCTAGGTATTTGCACAATGTCTTTTTCACATGTGTTCCATGTAGACATGACTTTCTGGTCCAAATGCAAACCTTAGCCCAGAAGGTCTGCATGCAAACATGTAATGCAAATATCTCACACTGTGTGCCAAATTACTCTCACAAATAACTGCCCTCTTTAGACTTTTTTGACACTGCTGCTGAAGAAACCAAAGTGCTTCAAAAGAGCCACTACCAGCCCTATGGGCATTTTGCCCTCTCACTTTCCCCTAGCTTTTAGGGTTGCCTTGATTTGTTCCATTTTCTCATAGGCCTTTGCTGTGCTCTTGGAAATGTTCACCATGAACTCATCCATGTTTTTCTTGGTCATAGGCCCATCTGGGAGTTCTTGCCACACCAAAATGTTGGAAACCGTGTTGGCATTGGTAGTCAAAATCTGAAAGGCATCTTTGGACTCCAATTTCAAATCTGGGTGGCTGTTCAAGGAAGGCAAGACTTTGGCAATATCCTTCAACAGCTTTTCAGCTGCCTCCTTGGCTTCTTGCAAAATACCGACAACCTTGTCAAAAGGTAAGGTATCCTCCTTGCCAGCAGTCAAAGCCAACTGGTGTTCTTTTGGTGTAGGCTCATCCTCCAAGCCTGGCTTGTCCTTGCTAGAGCCACCCAAAGACTTCATTCCCTTTTGCATTTGGGCATGGTCATTGGCGCTGAGCTCAACCTCACCAGTTGACAGCTGCATGGCTTTGTCAAGTTCCTTGACTTTTCCACTCTTGTTGCTCCAGAAGCTGTAGAACATCTTTCCACTCCCATCCTGTGTCTCGACTGGAAACACATCACCTTCATCCAAAGCAGACAAAAATGCCTGCTCATTGCCATTGAAGTAGTGGTGGATCATGATGGTCCTGGGGTAGGAGTTCTGCTGTTCCTTTCCAAAGCTCTTGTCATGGGAAGTAGTCGTATGTTTGAAAGAAGGGTGGTTGGTCTGCATGATCCAACTGCCACTCTTGTCTTTTTGGAAAAGCTTGTTCATCAAAGAGGTCTTCCCAGACCTGGTGACTGCTGAATCCACAACATCTAGAATGTGCTGAGGGATCTTTCCCTGCTTGCGCATGGTTTGAAATTTCAATCCCACATACTTGTTCCTCTTCTCTGTGGCATCAGGGTCTGTCTCTGGGTCTGAAACCTCTGGTTCCTCCTCTTCTCCTTCTTTGTTGGGGTCTGTCTCTGGCACACCTTTCTCCCACTTGTTGCACAACTCAAAAATCTTGTTTTTGCTTCCACTGCTCCCACCAGCTGCTGGTTTTTTGAAAGGTGCTCCATTGCTGCTTGGCTTCTTCAAAATTGGCTTCAAGGCTTTTGTTTTTGACTTTGGAGCAGCTTTGGTCTTTGCAGCAACTGTCCCCTTTCCCTTGGCAGCAGCTTTTGGGGTTGCCTTTGGCTTGGGAGAAGGCTCAGGTGCATCCTCCTTGGTTTTGGTCTTCTTCTTTGGGGTGACAGCAGTGGCAGGCCTTTTCAAAGGACTGTCTGCACCACCAGCACCCAGCAGGTCGACATCTTCTTCACATGGAGTGGGCATTGCTGATGCAACACCAGGAGAAATTCAAGCACTAGGTGTTTGA